TTTTATTATTTTTTTATGTCTACAATAATATCTTTACTTTTTGAAAGATTTTCTAGTTCTTTTTCGTAATGTGAATATTGTAATTTTAATTGATTTAAGTTGTTAAAGAAGTTAAGACTAAATCTTAGACTTGTAAAGAATAAAATTTCAGCTTTTATGTCTGAACTTTGTCTCGCACCCTAGAAGGAAATCTTTGAGACTCTGGACAAGATCGGTGAGATTTTATAGTCCTACAAGTCCTTCGTCCATAAGCTTTGGAATCAACTCACTTGGAGAATGGCAGGAAAAGTTATGTCATTTATTGTACACTACGATAAGTGTACCTGAGAGCAATTGATAGCATAAGTTTGAATTTCACGACATTCAGAATTCAACTGATAATCCAAATATGCGCAAACATTATGTTACGCACGGTTCGATGTTAAAAAGGATATGTTTGATAAAATTTTAGTTTAATCTTAAAAAAAAAAAAAAAAAATCTTTAAAATCCATTGTCATGAAATGTAAAGGACCAAAAGTAATGTCTTTATTTAAAATCTTGTATTTTTGATCAAATTATGATTGGCTAAACTTTTTGTTGCTAAGGATCATTAATGAAACATTTTTAATTGTTTAATAGAACAAGTTTCTTGTCTTTATTTTAAATTCTTGTCAGTTGATTGTTTATTATTTAATTGTATTAACATCCTATTGTCTAGTTAATTTTAGGATTATTTATGAGATTCATGTCAATGTCGAGAGATACCACGTATTTCTAGCTCAAATAGTAAAAAAGCATTAGATCATGCGTGATAATTATAAAATCTTTGTGCACCCAGCCCTCGTCTCTATCCACGTGCGCATTTTCAACATCTTAATTCCTTTTTGATTATTTAAAATACTTGTAATGCGATCATGAATCTATTGACTTTTGATAAAATTATGATTATATGTGATTTCAAACATCATTTTCCTACAGTTATAACATTTCTTATTTGTTGCCCTCAATTTAGACCTGTTTTGCCCCCGTTATTTTTGCCCTTACATTTTTCCACAGTTATAACATCTAACAAGCCATTGGATACCTCGGTTGCATTCTCGTGCTTTCATTTAAAAAGTGCGCTTATGACTTTGGCTCTGCATTATATTGGGCTAAGCCCATTCGCAGAACTACAATCTAACAGTATAAAGTAATGTTGTCCATCTAGAGTTCATATATGAATATTACTCGTTATAAAGGAACATTTCTTAGATAATAAGCCTTTAGTCACTAGCGGACCCAGCCCATTCAAGTTTTTTATGTGTAAAAAAAGAAAAAATTAGTGAGTAGTTTTTTTTTTTTTTTTTAAATATATTAACCCGACTTAAAAGATTTTTTTTAGTCCGATCCTAAATTCTTACATTCGCATTAAACTTGCTCATTTGGATAATGTTGCATATATCATATATGTAAAAAGTATTCAAGACGCATGCATGCATGTCAAAAGGTACCAAGTATAGTACAACTATTGGTATACTTAACAAAGGGTTTTCACATTTTTCATATAATTGGACGGGGAGCGTTGACCTCTTGATCCGCTTCTTCATCATCGAATATTTCTATTTCTGATTTTGGAAGAAAATTTGGAGCAATAGCCATTATGTTGCTACTATGATCCATGCATACATTCTTGACGCTTTCTGATGCAATATTGTCCGCTTGATCTCCCTCTTTAAAGTTCTTTGTCGGTATCAGTTGAGAAATTCTTTTGATTTCTTTGCTTTTCCCCCACAGTACTGCATACAATCCTAACACTATTATTGCAGCTCCTATCACACTGAAAAGAATATCCAGAATTTTATTTAAACTTCATCATAAGATTTTGTTATTCGGAAATAGTGAAATTGAGATTCCACAAATATGTACCTCCCTAAGTGTAATTTCTCGTTGAGGAGTAAAGATCCAGCAAGCGCAACGAGTACAAGCAACACAGGGCTAAAAACAGACACGAAGAACGGTCCTCTCATCCGAATGCAGCACATGAGACATATAAGCGTTAGTCCTGAACCCACAATTCCCTACACGCACAGATAATTAAAAAGATTAAAAACACAAATTCAATAGATTTTTATGACTTCACGGACGTCACACATGCACATATTACACATTAGTGTGTAATATTAGACATGTTATGATGCGTAAATACATACCATATAAGCTACCACGAGAAGTTTGAGATTCCATCCCAACTTCCATTGGTTCCAATTTCTTTCCATCGAAAGAGCATATATAAAAGCTTGAATTGTCCCCATTACTGATATGAGAGCGCTGCTAGAGTAATGACAAGGATATCCCTCACTCATTTTGGCCTGTTGTCATCACAACAAAATTCACCAACTTTCATGATATAAACAAAATTTATTATTATTTCGTAAAGTCCACCTGAACGATTAAGGAAAATGCAGCCGAGACACAACTAGCAAATGCCAACAAAGGACCCAAGATTTTACTAATGGACGTTTCATGATATGCTGCCACGTGTCCAACAGGATGTTTGTTAGTATTTTTCAGAAGGTCAAAATGGGTTGACCAGATATCAATTCTGCATCCCTTGTAAAACGTTAGAAGCATTGCCCCTCCTATGCCCATCAATGTTCCAAATACCTTTGCTTTGCCAGCCTTCGTGTTTAACCCCAATTTCTCCAACCTAATTACACCCATATACCAATTATTTTAGCTTTATATAT